ACGGGGGTCTTTTCTGAACCTCTCCTTCAAAGGACGACTGGGAATGCAAAATTGGCGGGATTCCAGGGGAGGCCCGGTTCCTTTATCCATTTGGGCAAACTGGTCGAAAACATTGTTGGAGGCTCATACGACAGAGGTGAAAACAAGGTGGAAAATTCAGCCATATGTTGAAACAAGTACGATCCTTGCAACAACCAACCCTAGAATTTACCTTTGCAAGAGTATCATCATGTATTTTTCCTACGCCACACGAAGGCAAGATGACCGGTCTGCCCCTCGTGTGAAATACCTCTCAGGAGACTTTCACTGGGATCGGACCACACCATACGCGGATCTCTTGGTCTCTATCATTCGTTCCTTTATTTTGGTGAATCCCTTCCGCAAGTGCCCAAGTGCTCTGCAGCTGTCCTTGAGGCTGAGATTCCATACGGTACCTCACCGCCGATAACGAACCACGGCTCACTTGTGGCTCAAGACAAAACAGTGCCTGAACATAGCGGGACATGAGCCAAACCAATTTGGGCACGTTCCATGTTCTACTAAGGGTGAGCTCAATTATATACTTGACGGATTAAGTGGCGGCCACAACCAAAGAATACACCTAGAAAGGAACACGTTCGGGGTCTGGACTGTGGAGCTGGTATTTCTACGATACCGAGCAAATCAGACGACCGGACACTTCATTGTTCAATGTTTCGCACTGCGTACTCTAGTACACTACAAACTGAAGATGAGATGACTGACGCAAAGCCTGGGCATGGGCACCAACTTATTTGTCTTCCACTTTTACTCGACCGCGATGCGTGCGTGTATCGGGGTACCAGCTCCCATGTCTCCCGTCGGTTCAAGGCTGGGGTGGGCGGATAGCAAGATCTACCTACATACGTCCAGGGATTTCAATTTCGAAATTTTATAATGTTTTACAAGCCGTTGGATTGACAGTCTGTCTTTTTACCAATTGGTTGTTGTTCCAGGTTGAACATCGCCCCTGTCCCGCCTTCCTTCCTTTCTTCGATTTCTCATTTTCCTCAGACGGTCGCTCCTTCTCATGAACGGTTTCACGCTACAACTGTGCCCGTGGAAACCGCCCTGCCGAGTCCTGACAGCAAAACTCGGAACTTCCATACAACCACCCGCGTTTGCCAGTCGATGCTGATCCTAACTGGATTTTGGCCTTTCCTTCGACCTTTTCCCTTCTCCTTCTCGCCGGCCACGAAACCGGCACAACCTTCAGTCCTGGTTCGACTGCACATTTCATTTTCTTACGACACTTATTGTTCCTTTTCGCACCTGGACACATTAATCGCCCTCTCCAACATCCAGATGTTCCCACTTACGTGGTGTTCCCGGCGCGCCGGCGGTCTGGCTATGGCCGGTACAATATGGCTTTCATATTGGGTTATCTCTGGAGAACGCGGGCTTCAACTACATGGCTACAAGCAACATGAGTCAATTGACAGTCTTAACTCCAATGCGCCTATCGACAACCCTCTCGGCCCCAGCATCGGGGTTCGCGTGTTCGCCTACTACTGCCTTCTCATCCATTTGCTCGTCGTCCTATTCCCACTCCGTTCAAACTGGGCCGTTTTCACGACCACCAAGAGCCTTCAGAAGATTGCGCGCATTGCGGCGGCCAGAGACCTCGATTTTGCCCATCAGCGCCGCGGTTCTTCGACCTCGCTATCGAGCGCCGAAACCCTCACCTCCTCCAGAGACTTGGCTTCAAGTTCAAGCAGCGAAGCTGGAGAATCCGACATCGAGCTCAGCGCTGACTGCGAAGTGACGCCCAACACCATCATCCATGCCATCGTCATTCCCAATTACAAGGAAGAAACCGACACGCTAAGGGAAACACTCGAGGTTCTGGCGTCGCACCCTCAAGCACGAGCCACCTACGATGTGAGTCTCCCATTCCAGATCCGTGCCTGAAATCAACTTGCTCCCGGCGATGGAACTTCCCTGGCACTCCGCTATTAGGGCTGTAAGAAGCGAAGAGAGAAGTGGAGTTGTGGACTCTAGACTAATGACTCTTTACCAGGTCTACCTAGCCATGGAACAGCGGGAAAGCGATGTGGAGACCAAGGCCATGTCGTTCACGAACGAGTTTACGAGACGATTCCGATCCATCAGCTTTACCATACACCCGCCCAACATCCCAGGAGAGTTGCCAGGAAAGGGGAGCAACCTTGCGTGGGCAGCACGACAGCTTAGCCAGAGATATACGCCTGCTCAACGGAAGGATGTTATCGTGACTGGAATCGATGGTAAGTGCCGCGGCGTCGTATTGGAGGGTAGCTTCCCGCCCTTAAATCCTACGCCTTCCGCTCTTGGCTTCTTGCAAGCTTGTTTGCGCATCGTGATTCGCTAACAAGCCACCCCAAAAATGCAGCCGACAGCCATCTCTTGGCCAATTATTTCACGCTAGTCACCACGATGCACGTGGCGCATCCCCGAACGGCGACGACCACCCTGTATTCGGCGCCGATTATCTTCGACCGCAATGCTCACAACGTGCCTGCCATAGTCCGCGTTGCGGACATCATGTGGTCCGCCGCCGGTATGTCGGGATTACATCAAGGGTCGTATGTTGCGCCTCCGACATCAGTGTACTCTCTGCCACTTGAGTTGGTCGATAGAGTTGGAGGATGGGATTGCGATTCGGAGGCAATTGGAGAGGACCTTCACATGTATCTGAAGTGTTTCTTTGCCCTCAACGGGAACCTTACCGTCCGAACGGTCTTGAGCCCCGTCAGTCAGACCAACGTTACTGGCGGCGGGCGCAACAAGGGCCTCCCAGGAATCGGCATGGACATGTGGGCCCGATATAGACAAGCGCTACGTCACATGTGGGGCGCTTTGGATACGGGCTACGCATTGAGGAAGATGGTTGAGGTCTGGAGGGAAAGAAAGCACACATCTCGCGCGTTTCGCCCGCTTCACACATCTCCGTAAGTGCTACATGTCTGCGGCCTTTTTTTTTTCGTTAGAAAATGTATGCTAACCTAACTGCAATCTGATCAGGGACGGTTCCGACCGCTACATTCCCCAAGCCCAACTCGATATCTCCACCCGTAGTGGCTTCTTTTCAGACATTGTCACTGATACGTTGGAAGGGCCAGACTACACCCGTATCTTTGTTTTATTTCATCGACTGTTCGAAGCCCACTTTCTGCCAGTGCAGATGACTATCCTGGTGATCGGGTCTACGCTGTACCTGTTGCTCGTAGATGGTGCAGCTGATACTCCTGGCATAGGATGGATATTTGGTGTTTGCAACGTCTTGCGCACTTTTGGATTTGTGGAGGTTGGCCTATACCTCTTTCTCTATGAGAAGTTTCACAAGATTTGCGTCGAGACTCGTGAGAAGGAGATGAGCGACGCCGGTCTCACCAAAGGCATGCACTTCTCGCACCGAGCGCCCAAGAAGAACTGGATTGATTATATCATGGTTCCGCTAGTGGCTACGGTATACGGTTCCATTCCTTGCGCTCAAGCCCTGATCTGGCACTTTTGGACGTTGGACCTCGTCTACACCGTGAGCAAAAAGGTGACCCGACAGAGGGGAAAGTCCGTCTCATCAACACCAAAAATAAAGGTCGAGGCGATGGTATAACGAGGAGGGAAAACCTCCGGCGGCGTTAATTCTTCAACACTTCTCTTCTTCAGCTCTTCCGATTCCTAGCGTTGTCGCATAACACGCTCTTGGATGACGATGGAGCGAGTTATGATTTTAAGCTCGGTTATTTTATCACTGTCCGATTTCTTGAGGCTCACAAGGGATCAGTTGTTTGTGGCCCAGTGCCTTCAGAAGTCAGAAAAATCATTCCTTCTTCTATACTTTCCCGGTGGCAGTTCTTCGGACTCCAATATGGGACCTTTTCATGCACATAGAGGTTACTTTTCGGTTTTGCTCTGCATGGCTGAGAGCTGGGATTTTGCATCTAGATTCGTATTTCGGGTTTTCTGTTGTCTACCGGGTGAGCTAAGTGGGAGAACCAAACGGCCTACCTTTCGGCGAGCTAGGAGATAATTTTAATGTCATTCTTCCAGGTTAGGGCTCTTGTCATGATGGGGGAAGATGATGAGTATGGGAGGTCACCATCGTCCGTGGAGATAAATCGGACTGTTCACCAAACAAATGGGTGACCTCACAAGGCAGTTACCGCGATTGACTCAGGGGCGCTCGGACGGTGTTTGAATTAGCAAAGGTCTGATGTTTTATCTGTTATGAGCAAATTACATTCGAAAATTGCATCTATCATCAACATCGAGAACTACACTACTACTGCATGAGCTGTCGTCCCCTTGTTCTTTTGGTTGGAAAAAAACACATGGATTCAACAGAGAAGGCGCCAATGACTGTTATACTGTCGAACCTCTCAATGTGATTAAGAGTCGGAAACTCAGTATGTACGTACACTCATACTAACAAGAGGGTCATGTGGTGTTGACAAAACGAAGAAGTCTTGTATCGCCAATGGACATTCACTTCGCATGACATTTGGCAGCAACCGATGATACACAAAATCTCGGAGATGAGCAAGTTTCTCTGCCAATGTTTGTCACATCCGAGCTGACTCGGCCCATACAAAGTTTTGAATTCCGAGAGCACTCGGAAGCTGCGAAATAAGTCATCCAATGGCTGATCGGGATTCTCTCATTGCTAAGACCTTGGACTGACGAAGGTGAATACAATATAGGTGCATTTAAATTCTAAACCATGTCCAATGGTTCTAAGTGCCGTACTGACTCGGGGAGAGTATGCTCTGTAAAGAAGATTGGCACGATAGCTGGTAGTACGCATGCTTGGCCAAAGATAGAGGCAGTGAGTGATTCGAAAGAGCACCATAAGGTGGCGTCGGATATAAAACACATGACAAGTCCAGTCATGACCAGTTGTGATCATCACATAGAGAACTCAACTCGACACAAACCGCAACACAAATCAATCTACAAGGAACACTCACTCGCACGCAACGTTTTAAACCCACTCCAGCAAGATGGCCACCAACTCTTCCACCGCTAGCAGCAACCATAAGGTGGTGCGCATAGGCGTCTTCATTCCATACCCCGCCCAGCTGCTCGACGCAGCATGCATCGACATCTTTGCCTCCATGAGCAAAGAGTACTTTGCCTTGGTAGGGGAGGCTATGGTGCCCCCGGCTATCTTTGAGTTGGCGCGTAGTGTTGAGATATTCTGTGAGTTTAGTTTTTATTTTTTTTATTTTTAAGTTCCATGTCCAGTGGTGGTGTCCTGTCTTCCACGCGATGATCTGCCGTTAGATGAAGTAACGTAGACTGAACGACTACCGACCGGTCGGTTTAGACATCGGCAAAGTCCGACCCAACCAACCAATCCCTCTCACAGCCAGCATGTCCATCCTCTGCACCCACCACTACTCCGACCCTCAAGTTGCTCCGGGGAAACTCGATATCGTCCTGGTTCCGGGACCGGATCCCAAGATCAACCTCCAAGAGGACCCGGCCGCTTTGTCGTGGCTAGCTGGACATGCCAACAACACCAAAAAGACAGACATCCTAAGCGTCTGCTCGGGCATCTACCTCTGCGGTGCGGCAGGGATCCTCAAAGGCAAGAAGGCCTGCGGACCCAGAGGGCTGCAGGGAGATCTCCGCACTAGGTTTGGGGGCCAGGAGGTGATTTGGGTTGGGGAGGAGTTGAGGTGGGTGGGAGATGGGAATTTGTGGTCTAGTGGTTTGTTTTTTACCCTTTCCGTCGTGTCTTTTCCCCAGAACACATCGGACTATAGTAACTGATGAGACGATAGGAGGCGTAACGAACGGCAATGATCTCGTTGCGGCTTACACAAGGCAGAGCCGTCACTTTCCGGGTCCCGTGGCTGAGTTGGGATTGAAGTTCGTTGAGGTGGATGAGAGACCGCAGGGGTACGAGGAGTAAGATTGTCTCTTGAGACTATGTGAGTTCTTGTTGGGGTGAATGTGGAAGGCTGGGTTATCAAGACGACTTTTATGGGGATTGGGGCAAGAGAAGGGGTTTGAAACGAGAAGAGGCTCGACTGGAGGACTTGGGAGGCTCAAGGCTGGGATGATATGTAGTCAGTCGAGGAGTTAAGGCTATTCTGCCAGGGGTTTCGATTTAGTTTCTAACATCTTTGCCTTTGATTGTTTTGACATGCTGCCACTTGCTTCCATAGCAGACTCTTGTGTTTTGTGATGCTGTCGTTGGTGGACCCGGTCTCACAAGGAATCCATATTGATGGTCGAAGTGGAGTGAACCAAGAGAGAATGATGAGAGTTGGTGACGCCGGGAGACTCCAAAGAAGCGTCCGTGACGCATCATGTTGATTCTTATGTCTCGCGTCTGTTGCCCTTTGCTCTGACGGCTCCCAATAATGCAAATGCAAAGAGCTCACAGTCCTGCAACGGCTAGCATTGAGCCTTGAGTTGGGAGTGGGTGATAACGGGTTGCAATCTTGAAGTTCCCGTTGTTGCAAGGTTTCCATGCCAGCTCCAGGCACGTCAGGGTCTGCACGACGTTAGCGCGGAGCTTGTCCAACTGTTCCCCGCTTTTGTTAGCGGACTGGCCTGCATTGGCCGATTAACCCCTGCTTAGCCTAGCCTGGGGAAGGTGGCTGTGATCCGATAAGGAAGGCTTATCGCTAACAGACGGTACGGGCGGTGGGGTGCCTCGAAATTTTTCTGGATCCAAAGGTGCAGTTCGCCTGAACTTTTTCTGCCGACCGCCCTCGCCCTCGATCGCATTCTCTGCCTTTCCCAAGTCCAACCATCGCATCCTTTCTTCAAACTTTTCTATCAAGCCTATCCATCTTTTTTTTTTTTTTTTTCTTTTAGAACGGTTTCCTTCGACGACGACTTCGAGTTTCTGTCCCTTTCATTTTCTTCAACAACTAGACTTTTTGATACCCGGCGCAAAGCACCACCCAAATCTTCACAATGGCTCCCCTTATGCCCGTCGCCGTCTTTGGCTTGGAGGTTCCTCCTGGCGAGATCCTCATTCCCGCCGCCTCCGAGTTCCCTGCTATCGTAAGTCCACACTTCTTGAGTTGCTCAACTCTCTTGTTCGCTGCCAATGGCGCTCCAATGGATTGCACTGATCTAACTCTTATGGATTCCAGATTCACATCACCATGGCTGCCCTCGATCCTACCAAGGCTCCTGAGGCCAACGGCCAGGGCAACGTCCCCGCTCTCCCCCGCTCGACCCTGAAGATCATCAAGGCTACTGGCCACGACCACGACGATGATGACGAGGAGGAGGACGAGTACCTCCAGTCTCTCCTTGGCGGCGGTGACTCCGACGATGAGGCCAACGGTGGCCCCAGCGATCCCTCCAAGTCCAAGAAGGCCAAGCAGGAGGCTGCCATCAAGAAGCTTATGGCTGCTACCCAGGAGGAGTCTGATGAGGAGATGGAGGACGTCAAGCCCAAGAAGGGCAAGGGTAAGGCCAAGGCCGAGGAGTCCGACGAGGAGGAGAGCGATGAGGAGAGCGACTGCTGCGGCGAGGATGACCTCCAGCTCGAGGACTACGTTGTCTGCACTCTCGACACTGAGCGCGTAAGAAACCCCTTCCCCTCGGTAACCGCATATTTGAACTCAGAGCTAACCTGATTTTCAAACTATAGAACTACCAGCAGCCCATTAACATCACCATCGGCGAGGGCGAGAAGGTCTTCTTCTGCGTCCAGGGTACGCACTCTGTCTACCTCACCGGTAACTTCGTTGTCCCCGAGGATGACGACGAGGACAGCGAGGATGATGAGGATGAGTCCGACGACGAGGATTACGACTTCCCCCTTGGCGGCGAGGATGACGATTCCGATGACATGAGCGACGAGCTCGACGAGCTTGACGGCACCCCCCGTGTCAAGGAGATCACCTCGGAAGATGAGGAGGCTCCCAAGCTTATCGACACCAGCAAGAAGGGCAAGAAGCGTGCCGCCGAGGAGGATCTTGATGCCATGATCTCCAAGGATGACAAGAAGCTCAGCAAGAAGCAGCAGAAGAAGCAGAAGGTTGAGGAGGCCAAGAAGGAGGAGCCTAAGAAGGAGGAGGCCAAGAAGGAGACCAAGTCCGACAAGAAGGTCCAGTTCGCCAAGAACCTCGAGCAGGGTCCTACTGGCCCTGCCAAGGACAAGCTTGAGAACAAGAAGCCCGTCTCCACCGTCAAGGTCGTCCAGGGCGTCACCATCGACGACAGGAAGGTTGGTACCGGCCGTACTGCCAAGAACGGCGACCGTGTCGGCATGCGCTACATCGGAAAGCTCCAGAACGGCAAGGTCTTCGATTGTAAGTCTCACTTTCCGCCTCCTCACTCTCACAGTTTTGACCAGAGACTAACGTTTTGATACAGCTAACAAGAAGGGTGCCCCGTTCTCCTTCAAGCTCGGCAAGGGTGAGGTCATCAAGGGCTGGGACATCGGTGTTGCCGGCATGGCTGTCGGTGGCGAGCGTCGCCTCACCATCCCTGCCCACCACGCCTACGGCAGCCGCGCCCTTCCCGGCATCCCCCCCAACAGCACCTTGATCTTCGACGTCAAGCTCCTCGAGATCAAGTAAATTTCGAAGCGAGATGTTCAAAGGATTGGCCTACCATTGAAATCACATAAAGGTTGTCAGTCACAACTCCATGTAATCTATGGCTAGCAAGTCGCAGATTTTCTTTCGTCAGCACATATTTCCCTTGCGCTCATATTGGGTGGTCAAGGAAGTGGGAACGTCATTTCAGCAGCATAATGTCAAAAGTTTCGGGTCTGGATTTCTTTCTGTACTTTGGGTTGTACATCGTTCAAGGGGCACGAGATACTCTTATACTGCGTCTTTCAATTGCAAAGAAGCACATTTCTATGATACCTACCATCGGGTCACAACCCTCCTTGCATGTTTGAAGGTCACAGTCGAGGAAAGCGCTCATCAGTGACGTACGATGACTAATATCCAGGAAGGGGAGTGACGGTCAGCTACGAACGATATGGTTCTTTCAGGATTCGTGATCGCACCTGCCATGAGGTTTCGTACATTAAGAGGTAAGTGTTGTTGGTTTGGAGCCGGGAGGCGCAACTAACAAGTGATCAGGATGCCTTTTGTGCTGCCCTAACTCATTTTCTTCTGCTGCACCTTGCAGTAATCCTTCGACTAAGACAAGTCCATCCGCATCTTTTCCATCATCCCCCGTTCTGCTTCCATCTCTCACTCGGTATAATCATCTTATCTTTCATTACCATTATCAAAGCCGCCGCGGCTTTCGACTTTCGCCAAACTCGGCCTTGCGCATACCATTGACCAAGTTACACGCCGTAACGGTTCCTACCATTCAATGGACAGGACCGAGTAACCGACATGAAGAGGAGCTCTTCTCTGACATCAAGTCATCTGGACACCACCGTCCCGGTTTACCATCCCACTAGGCCTGGCGACTGCTCGGATAGTTGGTCTGTTGCTCTATCTTCACCCGAACAAGGTGTCCCTCGCCCATCGAGGTTTCACTGGCAGAGGTCAAGGCTTGGTCTGGTTGTCAAAGCACTCACCCACAACGGTAAGTTGAATAGGAATGCGTCCATACTACCTCTTTGTTCCGAGCAGAAAAAATACTGACACGGGTTTGAACAGAAAATTCGGTCTCCATTAACGACACCAAGTCGTTGATCCCCGAACTATCAAGACACAGGGCGACGACCCTCTCACGACGCATAGGCAAAATGTCCGGAGCATTTTTTCGTGCAGTAGCAGAACCGACAATCATTCACCGGAAACAATCGAAGGGACGAATCCCAATAGGTCACGCATTCCAACCATCAGACGACAGCAAGACCACTCTGCTACAGTTTTCTCAGTTCCCGTCGGTAACACCGACCACGGGAGACATGGACACTGAGTCCAGCAAGAGCAGTCCAACAAATAATAACAGCAACCCGAGCATGTCTCCCGATTACTCAACGGCCCAAAGTTCCTTGGACTCCAGATTTTATCCATCACCCCCCAACAATGCTCACTATAAAAGTTCTTGTACGAGAACATCTGAAAAGAAGCATCTTCAACGTCATCAGTTACCTGCTCTAAATTCTGCACATGCCAACCGGCGTGGTGTCACTACGCCCTCCAGCCCCGAGACCAATCTCACGACGATCCAAGAAACTGCTCTCGACCAGGCGTCTCCTAGCGTACTGACTGTTGAGCGGGCAGCCGCGGCCAAGATTTACCTTGAGACCTACTTTGACGAGCTGTTGACTCCTGGGCCCAGTGCGCGGTCTATTCGTCTTCAGTTGCTTGAGACCCATCTCATCAATTGCGGTGCTTTGGATGGCAACGTCAGCCCTTCAGAGGTAAAAGCTGTGCGGGCGGATTTTTTTCGTCGAGAAAGCGAGCATCTACGCAAGAGTCGCGTACTGAAAGCCCGCAGTACCGTTGCACTGATGGCGCAACGAGGTGCCCCTGAAGCCAGCCTTGAGAATGATTGGGATGTCTTGAAGATTCTCGGTAAAGGCAGCTTTGGAGTGGTACGACTTGTTCGGGAAAAATCCCAGTACCGTGAGGAAGACCCCAGTGGCCGCTCTGATGGTTGGTCCGAAGCTAGCAGCAAGCAGGTGTACGCCATGAAGGTTATCCGGAAGTCAGACATGCTTCGTACTAGCCAAGAGGGTCATCTGAGAGCCGAGAGGGACTTTCTGGTTGCATCTGAAGGCTCAAAGTGGTACGTGCTTCAAGTAGCACCCTCAGCTTACAAACGATACTGACTAGATCGTAGGATCATACCACTCATCGCGAGCTTCCAGGACACTTCCAATCTTTATCTCGTCATGGAGTATATGCCGGGTGGCGATTTCCTCGGACTCCTGATTCGGGAGAACATCCTACACGAGTCTGTAGCACGATTTTACATTGCCGAAATGATACTATGTGTTGAGGCGGCACATGCGCTCAAGATCATTCATCGAGATATCAAGCCGGACAACTTTCTTATCTCTGCCTCAGGCCACCTGAAGATCAGTGATTTCGGTCTGGCGTTCGACGGCCACTGGTCGCACGACGCCGCGTACTTCAACAGTCACCGATATAGCTTGCTCAACAAATTGGGCATCCACCTCGAGGGCGATGATCAAGACAAGGCCGAAGGTCGCAGTCTGCAGGCCACAATGAAGTGGGCAAGCGGTATTATGACGGGTATCGACAAGCACGAGAAAAAGATTACGGAGGACGGCGAGACCCTCCTGAGCTGGCGTAATCGATGCGGCAACCGCACTTCTGCAGTGAGTGTTATCGGCACTAGCCAGTATATGGCGCCTGAAGTCATCGAAGGGAAGAAGTACGATGCTCGGTGTGACTAGTGGAGTATCGGCGTTATTCTTTTTGAATGCCTCTATGGTCGTACGCCATTTATCTCTGATGCCGGTAGACATATGACGAAGCAGAACATTCTTGTAAGTTACTCGCGATACCTGATCTCCCTACAGGCACCCAAGCCTGTCACAGATGCAATTGCTAACCACAGGTCACGCGAAAAGAGATACAAGGAGACATTCCATTTTCCACGCCAACCTGCTGTCTCTGCTCGGTGCCAGCAACTGATCACGTCGCTTATAGACGACAAAGAGAACAGGCTTTGCTCTAAACGTTATCGCTTCAAAGATCTCATCAACGTGTCCATGACTGCCCAACCAAACCCGTCGGGAACCACAGGAGGACCCAGCTTAGGGACTAGTTCTTATGGCCATCGCCGGAAACAACAGCCTGATTTGGCAGTCCCACGAGATTTTGCCGGCCGTTACGTGTTCCCTTACGATGCTGAGGACATCAAGGCGCACAAATGGTTCAGGGGAGTTCCTTGGGATAGGCTGCATGAGATTGATCCCCCTTATGTACCACATCTACGAGGCCCGGATGATACTCACTATTTCGACGATGAGGATCCCATCAGTGACTGGAGCGACAGCAGTGAGGAATCGGAGCCGGAGGAACCCTCACCGACATCTTTTAGCTCTCCAATCGCCTCAGACCCACACGGAAGTTCAAGCCCGGTCAGTCCAACCACGCCCTCTATGCTTGGGTCTCTCAAAGATCTTAGCTTAGGCAGCCGTCCACCCAATGGCAAAGACAAAATCAGGTCGGTGGCTAAGCAAGCTCTTCAAGGCTTCAAACGTGATGTTCAAAAGTGGGCATTGACTGCCATTGCAACTCCGTATGACAGAAATCGCCTACACAATCTTGATTCGCAGATTGATGAGAAGTTCCTTGATCTGGCGTCGGAAGAGCGGGAGATGTTGAAACAGTTTGTGCGGGTCTATGGAAAAAAAGACCGAAAGAGGCCTAGGGACAAGCTGTTGAGGGACAAGAACACCAAGGCAGTGGTGATGGATGTGAGGAAGAGGACCGCCTTTTTAGGCTACACTTGGCGACGAATGAACCATGACAGTAACGGAGCGGTGAGACAGGGCTTGGAACGGATTTGGCCCAACGTTGGTTCCTTTGTGAGCGATGGGAACCTCAGGGGGCAAGATGGGACAATCAATGCTGACGGTGTTGGGTTTGGCAGTAGCGGTGGTTATGCCGGCTATGCTGAAAGTGTGTACGCGAATCATGCTGGCTGTGAATGGGAGGAGGATCGCGAGGCTGCTGTAAAGAGTCTGCGCAAGGGAAGGCTGAGCTGGCTCTAGTTTGGATGATGGTTCATTCAAGAAGGCTGAGCAAGCCCGAGGAAGGGCAAGCTTGGGAAAAGGATGAGAGTTTGAGTTGATGGACGGCAGTATTAGACGCCATGGTTAGTTTTCGCTTTTGAGTAACACTGCATAGCTGAGTATCCGATAGGCGTGCGAGGACGGATAAATAGAAATAGAGAGTATTAGCATTAGGAGTTATTGTAACTTGTTTGCTGGGAGCCGCTTGCTTTTTGCTCCCCTAGTGACTGACGTTCAATGAAGCTCAAAACTCGTCCATCGGAAGTTGACGGTAGCCAGTATTGCCACGCCGGCTCAGAAACCGTCACCACTGCTTGCTGTCATCACCATCTTCCTCCGTACCAGCATGTTGTACGACAGGTGTCTTGCCCTCCGCCAGCGCCTTGGCCGTCAAAATCTCAAACTCGTACTCCTTCAGCGCCCGCAACTCACTTCTGAAGAACAGGAGCGACATAAGCCCATCCAACGTACCTCCCACCAAGCCCAGGGTGCTGACGAGCATGAGGATAAAAGCAACAAAATTGCGCGGAACGAACCACACAGCCACGAGGCACCCAACCGAAACCCCAAGCCACGCAAAGAAGTGGTATGCTCGCCATCTGAGCTGCGACTCCTCGCGGGCTACATACTTGTGGATCAAACTGAGTATTTGGTCGTAACTGCTGGGTGGTAGGCGAGGTGGTGGGGAGTTGAAAGCGGCGAGCTGTTTTGTGTAGGAGAGGCTGTCGTCGGCGTCGACATTGGTGTCAGCCTCGGCAATACTGGTGCCTTGAGATGATGCTTCGTGGAGATAGGTGCCCGTTTGAATCAGGTGGTTGTCAGCGTCGTTGAGAACAGTGGTGGTTGGTTTGACGACGGTTTGATGCGTGTCGCTGAAAGGGCTGTTGTTGTTGTTGTTGTTGCTATTATGGTGCTGCTGCTGCTTCAAAGGAACGAACTTCAACGTCGCCTCTACAGCAAAGTGATCGCTCAACGAGCACCCCAGCTCCGGATGCCGCATCATCATCCCGACCGCCGCGCGCTTGACCACCCAGCCCCCGCCGTTAGCCGCCACATCGCCCGTTCCAGCAAAGATGTAATCCAGCCGCTTCCCGCGAAGGTCCGGCGTACTCGGGTCGACAGTCACCACGGGCTTGCCGATGCCTAGCTTCTTTTGATGCTTGGGTAGCCAGCGCCACGTATTGAAGGGTCCGTCCGAGGTGGCGCAGTTCTTGAGAATGTTCTCCTGGGCCGTGGGGACGGGGACGTTTCGAGCCTTTTCCGGGGGGTGATGGGCTGGGCCGACAGAACTGTCGGGATGCAGAACACGCCAGACATCATGCACGGGCGCGTGAGCGGTAACGATGTGGTGCTCGAGGGACATGGGCAGCATGTTGAAGTCGCCCAGGCCGAGGACGAGGTGGCCCCGTTCCGCGGCGCCACGGAGGAGTTTGGACATCTCCCAGGATTGAGCGGTGCGGTGGCATACGTAAGAGTCCTTAGGCGTTCCAGATTCATAAGGGGCGTGAGTGTGAGTGTTGAACACTTCAATGATGTGTTTCGGCCCCGAGCCGTACCGGATCTTTGCACAGGCAATTCCTTTTCCGACGTACCAGTCACCGCGCCAGAAGGCCGTCGGTCGTCCGTTTAACGGGTACCGGAACATGGTACTCTCCTCGATCGGCCACTTGGACAGGATGGCTAGACCCCCGCCGAAGGCACCGGCAAAGTAGAACTTGCCATAGGGAAGGATGTAACGGGTTTCGCGCCGGATGGTCAGGTAGTCCTCGTGGCAGAAACACTCCTGGAGCGCGACGATTTGCGGCTGCGGGTCGGCAATGGCGAGCTGGCGGCCGATTTCTAAGAGACGCTCGCGGCGAAGCTTGGAGATGTACTTTAGACCCCAGCAGTTGAGCGTCACGATATTTATCTCGGTGGGTAAGTCAGCCATCGTGACTGAGAGGTCGAATGAGGTGAATGTTGAAGAGCAGAGTCGTCGGACCTGGTTAGGCTGTTCAGACGAGATGTCAGATGAGGTGTGAGATTAGAAGCCGCAAGTTCATGGTGCGCCGACACGGATGCAGCGGTATGAGTGAGTGAAAGACCAGAAAGGCTCTGGGATAATCGGTTCAACTGGTTTCTCAAAACATCCAGTTGAACTCGTCTTCCAAGTTACGGTCACGGCGGCTGAGGGCGGCGTGGGCGGTTATCCTTCGATCCTTGAGCATGCCTGACGATCTAAACCATTCTAGGTTTGGCTTTCCGCCCAGCTGAATGGTGTGGAGGCTCTCCACAAATCTCAAGATCTCCAAGACGGGACGTCAACGAGACTCGAGCGGACGGATTGACCAGTTGGAGCGGCTTATTCTATGCCCGCAGGTTCAAAGTACTTTGGTACCTCTAGTACAGACACACGCGTAGAAGGTTGCAAGAGTCCAGACTTCTGATGGAGTTTAGGACAGACGACGTAAAGGAATAACGCCTCTAGCTCCGGAACTCTGCAAAGAAAGATATTCATCTCGTTGAATTATGGTGAATCCCTTGGCTCTTCGTTGGTTATGCTTTGGCCAACAAAGGGCTTTAGGGAGAAGCGTCGTTGGTCCTGCTTCGTATGTACACATAAGACTCCCCTGATGACAACTTGTGCCTGCCCCACGCCCCTGTACTCCAAAAGTCGGGCAGGGGACCTTGCCGTGCGCGCGCATGCACTTTGTGAACTTTCTTCCGCTCTTCGACTGACGCAAACCGGACCGACCAGCGAATTTACACTCCTAATCCTTATCCTCTACCATTACCTTGACGTCTACTTGCGCTCAGGCTCACACCATCTATCGATATTCCTTGGTGCAAAATCCTCAAGCTATATCCGCGTCTTTGCGCCCCAAGAGAGGACAGCATCTTCCTGAGCAAAGCTTCCCCTCGACATGCCCAGAACCCGGGCTTCCCCAGAAGGCACAGCTGCTGAGCCACCTCACCCCAAACGCCGCAGACTACCCGACGACGACGCCAGTTCAATGCCGCGATATAGTTCACCTGCCGAAGACATGAACCGCGACGAAGACACAACAGCAGACGAAGGTCGATCTCCTGCCCATAGGCCGCTAGCGCGCCGCGACCGTCTCCCTACAAGCCCAAACAGGGCCAGGGATGCGAGCGCAAGTAGAAGCAGAAGCCCAAATGGAAGAAGCGGAACCAGAAGCATCAGTCCCCGTTCTGACGAAGATGATCAACAACGACGATACCGCTCCAGGTCATCATCCAGGTCGCGATCCAGATCCTCGTCGCGCTCGAGGAGTCGCTCCTACTCACGCTCTCCAACCCGATCCCGATCCCCTCCCTCTCGATCGCGCTCCCGGTCACGCTCTCGAACAAGCTCGACACGCGACCGCTCCCGTTCCGTATCGCCCTCTCGCTTTCGAGATCGCCGGCCTTTCAAGTCACATGCCCAGAGCCTTCGACCGAACTACCGACCCCGCCTACAGCTAAGCGGCCATATCGCTGCCATCAGCCAGGTCCGAATATCACCAGACGGAAAATGGATCGCCTCCGCTTCCGCCGACGGGAGCGTCAAGATTTGGGATGCTAAGACGGGCGAAAACCTCGACACTCTTATAGGCCACATGGCAGGCGTCTCATGCCTGGCATGGGCACCGGACAGCAACACTCTGGCCACCGGCTCAGACGACAAGGCCATCCGTCTCTGGGACCGGGTGACTGCTAGTCCCGCTCACGCTTGTGGGGACGAATCGAATCGCGGCCAGGGCCCACGAGAGTACATCAGGGGCAGCGGCCAGCTTGCTAGGACAGCACGCGGCGGTAGAACGGGAATGGGTCCTTTACTTGGACATCACAACTACGTTTACTGCCTCGCCTTCTCGCCAAAAGGGAACATTCTGGCCAGCGGGAGTTATGATGAGGCCGTATTCCTGTGGGATGTGCGAGCTGGTCGGTTGATGCGAAGCTTGCCCGCTCACAGTGACCCAGTGAGCGGGATCGGCTTCTGCTGCGACGGGACGCTGGTCGTCAGCTGTTCAACGGATGGGCTCATGTACGTCTCGCACTGCACAAGATTCCCCTCCAGGGTTTACACTCGCTAATACTTGGACTTTCATAGTCGAATATGGGACACCTCCACCGGCCAATGTCTCCGAACGCTCGTCCACGAGGACAACCCCGCCGTCACCAATGTTTGCTTCAGCCCGAACGGCCGCTTCGTACTAGCCTTTAACCTCGATAATAGCATCCGACTTTGGGACTACGTGTCAGGAACCGTCAAAAAGACATACCAGGGCCATAAAAACAGCGGGTTCTCTATAGGCGGAGGTTTTGGCGTGGTGACCGACAACAAGAATACACAGGACGACTACCGACACGGCAATAGGGGGAAGCCGTTTGTTGTGTCGGCAAGTGAGGACGGAGATATCGTGATGTGGGATGTGGTCACCAAGCAAATCGTACAGCGCATCGAGAAGGCTCATGAGGGGGTGTGTTTCTGGGTAGATGTGAATGGCGACACTATGGTGAGTGCTGGGCAGGATTGCACCATCAAGGTTTACAAGAATGTGCGGAGGATAAAGGAAAAGGACAACCGCCGGCGAACACTCGAGAAGCCGAATGGTATCGATGGGACAAATGGCCATGGTGATGGCAGAGGAACTGATTCCGACGAAGCTGTGGGGGAAGAACGCCTTTAGCCTCTCGCTCGGGGCCGATCATCAACTGACCACTATTTCGAGGGAAGTAAGAGCATAGCCGAAACCAGATACCCCTTTCAACTCTTGATCCATGGTTCGCGACGCTGTTCGGGATTCGAGTGCGGAGACAAATATGCCTTTGGGGCTTTATTGCGTTGCTTGGATGACCGCTATTGATTCCCATCGTTACCTGCCCGTCTATGAATAGTTGATGCGCCTATTCAAGGCAAATGTAGCTGTCATCTGATCCCAAAGGTAAAGACTTAGTGGAAAGCAGGCCTAAGTGCCTGGTACCAACAATCCGCTTTAGGGATTCCTCGTACCTGAGGAGGTCGACATGCGTACATGTAGCGATCAACCACACTGTTGCTACCACCTGCTGACTACTCAGTATCGGCACGTATGTAGCCCTCCTGGCCCTCTGCTGCCTCAGATGATTGGCCGAGCTGGTTTTGCTGTTGCAGGAATAAAAGCCAAAGCCCACAAAAATCTCGAGACACCAGGCCTCAGTTGTTGGCCTTCTCGGACTCGATGAGGTCCACATCCATCTCCTCCTGCACCTCCAACACCAACGCCAGGCTGTCCATGAACGAGTTCACGGCGACGCGCAGCATGCGGTTTGTGGTCGCCTTGTAGTCGACTTGCAGGACCGTCTGCCCAGCATCTTCGCTGCTAGGGGACGCAACGGTCGAAAGCTCCCGCTTAACGAGGCCGGAGAGCTCCTTGTCTACCCTCAAGGCTTGGAGAGCAACAGAAGCTAACCGGGCATCAGGGAAGGGCACTTGAAGTGTTCTTTCGCGGTTGTTATGTTAGTGCCAACTTATCTCAAAAGAAGAAATGCAGGGTTTGAGTGAAATGAGAATCTCATGCCAAGAGGAAGGGTGAAAACAAACGAGGTGAACAACAACATGTGTGAAAACAAGGAATGCAACACCAGCACGAAGAGAAGCTAAAATTATGACCTACAGCGAGCAGGGGAAGTTGTCGTCGGTTGCCATGGCTGCGGTCTTTAAAAACCCTGTAGTAAACACTTGCAAGAAAAATGTTGTCTTGAACCAAGGGGTTTCAAACTGGCACTCGTTTAACGGTTGCCAGGGGGCGTTTGTGTGGTAAGCGCTACCCGATGACGAATGTCGAATTCCAACCGCCGCGGCGTCGCAAAGGCGCTCTTCAGCAGTGTGCCTGTGCTGTGTGATGACTGATGACAGGGTCCTTGTAGGCAACTCTGTAGGAACTAACCTCAAACTGTATCTCACACTGGCAAATTCGCAGTGAGGTTACTGTCGTCTACGGCTATCGTAAGGTCGTAGGCGGCAGGCTGGCTGAACAAGCGAGTTCGACATTCGGTTGTGCCGTGTGCTGGGCGCAAAAGTCATCATGGCGGCTCTACAGAAAAGGACAAGCTTCGGCATCACCTCCCTCCCTATCTCAGCTGGGAAGTGGAGCACTGGGGGGGGGATCTCCCGTCGGAAAGAAGTGATGTTACTGGCCCAGGCGCGACTGCGAATGCCAAGAGCCAAGGTTGTCAGGACAACGGCGGGTGAGATGGAGCTCTGGACGCGCTTATTGGGCGGTGAATTGTTTTGGAAGACACCAAGCCCCCCGAATTCTTCGCTGGCCCAGGGCGCAGGCAGCGGTCGGGCAAGTTGTGAGTGTCGAGTTCGAGGCGGTCTCTGCATGGAAGGTGAGGTGAAGGTCTCGCTCGTTCCCCAGTTCCCCAGGGTCCCTGCCAATGACAATACAACCTTGCCAGCGAAAACACCGCTCTTGGTACCGGTAAGGCCGTACTACCTGCTACAAAACCTGTTCTCCGCAACCAGCATCATACCCACCGGCCTCCTCTGACCTCCTCCCACATCGCACATCATCATCGAGTTGCCCACTCCTTTGTTTCTTCAGCCCTTCCTGCCTCCGGTGCTTTCGTTCTTGAAGATTCGCATTTGCGCAGCCGGCGTCGTCTTGTCCATCTTTGGAGGCTTCGGTTCTTGTTTTTGGCGCTTTCATCTCACCCCGCACCTGCAGTGCAGTACACAGTCCCTTGCGTCGCGGTCAGTATACCTAGCCCAGCTTGGCTTCTTGGTTTCCTTTGTTGGCACACAATCGCTCGCGAAACGATCTGCGATCTCGACCTCAACTTCCTCCCGTCAATCCGACCACAATCTTGGCCACGCGACCAAAGTAAAGACCCGGGCGACAAAATATTATTGAATTGAAGGTCGACGTCTTCGCTCCCGCCTCCCAACAGCTCATTACACAGCATCACTATCCCGGTTAATGCGCCCGCGCACCGTCGCAACGACGATCACTCTTTCGATATAAACAGGCGCCTTGGAGCCTCCCAGGCCACGACGCCATGGCTCCTTCCTCCAGACACTCCAGCAGTCTGGGGCAAATCATTGAGTACATTCCCGGTACGTGTGAAGCATGAGCGTGCCCTTCTTGTCCCCTCAATCGACACTACAGATTTTTTTGTTTTTTCTTTGTCCAGAAACCCCATGTTCATGATCCACCCGCATCCCATGTTCACCGCCCCGCAACGGAGCTGTAACCGTCCCAACATGTGCACCTCGGAATATTCTCTACATTATCAGCAATTGCCTTACAGTATACTAACCTTCACAGACCGATTGTACCTTGCATCCTACTCTGAACCTCCTACCGAGCATACCTTGTTTCCCTACCCGGATCCCGAACCACGGTCTCCGCGGAAGCGCTCTCAACGAACAGTCGACCAGGTCGCGGAGCGTAAGAAGCCATACTACTTCACCGTCGACGACACTCTTCTGTACAATGCCTTCCACCACGATTTTGGCCCGTTCCACATCGGCCACCTTTACCGCTTTGCCCTGCAGTTCCACGAGATCCTTGGAGCCAAGGAGAACAAAGACAGACCGGTAGTGTTCTGGAGCAGGGCCGACCCACGCAGTAGGTTATCTCAGTCCGCCTGCTCAAGACAAACAATGATCTCTGACCAATGCTGTTCCAGGTCGTGCCAATGCCTCTTGTCTACTGGCTTGCTACATGGTTTTGATCCAGTCATGGCCTCCGCATCTGGCACTTGCCCCGGTCGCCCAGGTCGACCCCCCTCTTATGCCGTTCAGAGACGCCGGCTACAGCCAGGCTGACTACGGCATCACGGTTCAGGATGTGGTTTACGGTGTTTGGAAGGCCAAGGAAGAGGGCTGCTGCGTGTTGGAGACATTCGATCTCGACGAGTATGAAAAGTTTGAGAGGGTTGAGCACGGCGACTTCAACTGGATTACACCCAACTTCCTGGCATTTGCCTCTCCTCAGCATACCCCGGTTGCTCCCACACCCGAGGGGACCGAACAGTGGTCGCTTCTACCCAAGACTCTCAGCGCTGTCGACGCTCACCCTACGCTGCCGCAGCCCTTCAAAAATGTCCTTAGACATTTCTCGGAGCGAAACATCGGTCTTGTCGTCAGGCTGAACTCACAGCTCTATAATCCCTCCTACTTCGAAGCCCTAGGAATTAATCACATCGACATGATATTTGAGGACGGAACTTGCCCGACCCTTTCGACGGTACGGAAGTTTATCCGCATGGCCCACGAGACCATCTCCAGGAAAAAGGGCATCGCTGTTCACTGCAAAGCTGGTCTCGGCCGTACAGGCTGCCTAATTGGTGCCTATTTGATCTACCGACATGGCTTTACAGCAAACGAGGTCATTGCTTACATGCGCTTCATGCGCCCCGGCATGGTCGTTGGACCTCAGCAGCACTGGCTGCATCTGAACCAGGGCGTCTTCCGGGAGTGGTGGATTGAAGAGCGCGTTGAGCGGAGGCTGCGCAAAGAGATGGCGGCTGCGGCTGCGGCCGCGCAGGCCAACGGAACCGCGCACCCGAGCACCCCTATTCGTGCCACTGTCCAAAGACAAGCCTTGGCCGTAGCTCTAGCAAGAACGGCGTGTCCACACCCTCTAACAGAGGATCCATTCGAACACCGCTGGGCGAGATCGATCAGGACTCGGCGCGTGACAATCATATTGGTGTACAAGAGGATTATCTCCCTGCACCTACGCCGGGACAGCCAAGGAAGACGCAGCGGGGCGCAATAGATCGCCAGAAAGGATATGGCCGGGGAACTATTCAGACCACTGTGGAGGAAGAACCTGCCGTCATGGCAGAAGTGACAACCGAGGTGATTACTGTTCAAAAGAGCTCAAGAGGGCCGAATTCGGAAGAGGAATGGAATCTCCGAAGATCTCGGCGAAGACAATCAGCCGCTCCTACTTCACCAGAACAACGCCCCGAACGGTCTGTCACCCACCAAACCGCTACTACGAAAACGACGGTTTATCAAGTTATGGATAACGATGCATCGAACGATATCGAGAACATTGGTACTGCAGCATCACGAATAAAGGCCCACGACCATGCTCCACGCACTAGTTCCGCGTCAGGAGTTTTGACCAAGGTACGAGGCAACACTAGTGCGAAACGCCATCCACCTGGGAGCATCAGAGAAGCTGGTGTTCGAAAGACAAGCGGACGAGTTGGGAGTATAGGGAACTCGACAACCAGTCCAGCAGCTGTATCGGCGGTACGAAAAATAAGTGGGATGTGACCCCATCCTCATAGGTCGAGAGACTCTACATACTTCACTTGATGAGTTATGACAAGCACTCGGATTCAATCGCTTGAGATTCTTTTCGGATACAAAAAAGGCATACCCTTTGGAACATACGTTTCTGTGTTGGGTTTCTCATTGGCAGCAAGCAAGCTTGGAGCATTAGCGGGCGAGCTGTCGCATCTTTGGCTTAGCCATCACGTTTGCATGATCAGCACTTTATGGGCCATTTCCACGCATGACGACCTCTCTGGCATAGCAGGTTTTGTCTTTTGATGCGTTTTCTTCTGGATCGCAAGGTCATACTTGGGTTGTGGTGGAGGATACGATATACGTTGCATGGACATGAGCATGAGCATGGAATGAGGGCGAAGAGGCATAAGGGATTCTTCTTTTTCAGGCCGGTTAAATCCTGGCACGACTTCTTTTGTAGATTTGGACTTTTGGTGGGCTCGCGATGGGATTTGGGTTACTCTTTCGGTTCGTCGTCAATGGATGATGATGTTCCTGTGTTCAAGTACTACTGTACGGAGTCATGGATAGGGTCAGATCGGTTAGACGACTGGCAATCGAACAATATCACAGCATTTCAGTTGCAGTTCCAGCTTCCAGTGAAACCTGAATCCGATTCTTACCTCTACCTAGTACCATAAGTTACCTAGGTAAGGTTCACTGTCGTCCGGCATTGCACCTAGACTACCCCCTTACTGTACAGGCCGGCCAGGAAACCTCGTACAGCCTCCGGATATGTTGTCCCCCTCCACCGGGCGTCCTCACTCCCACAGCCGGAAGTCTGTTGTGAGTTCCTAACTTTCGACTCAGGCCGCCATATTTCGAGTTCAGTTCGTGGCTTTCTAGCAAGGTGCCTCTACCTCTAGAGCTACAGTACAGTGATCTCGCCAAGCTAAGCCGACAACTGAACACGGCGATGGTGATATGAAATGAGTCAATGACATAGTGAGGTTCGGGAGCAAGATGCCGTTCACATCTCAGCTCAGCAAGCGCGGATCTCTTCAACACTGCAGCCTCATGAAATTCCTGAACCGAAACCTCTACCGAGTTGGCAAGAACTTTCCTTCTCATGATATCCAGATCCTTTAAGTGTCCAGTCCATCCAGTCCATCCACCTAACGGCCGACTGTCCGGCTCAGCTGCCCCCGTGAGTGCATCGCGACTTCCGTTTCTTCAGGTTTCCTTCCTCCTTAGTTCCACAGATGGTGCTCTTTACAAGCTCAAAATGGGCGGCATTCTCTGGGGTAAGTACCTCTACACCTCGCTTACATCTCTCCCTTACTTCAGTTATGATGCCTGATGAATATCTCAGACGAGCGGATCTTGAATATCCCATAACGGGAAATCCCCCAAAGGCACCATCTTGGCTAGTTTGGGAGCCTCTAGAGGTAAAGGGGTAGTCGAAGCACAAAAATGTGCAGTGCGGCAACCAAACGGCATTTCCCTTTCGTCCCAAACAATGGAACCATAGCGGAAAAATGCGAACGGCATCTGGCCAAGAGGAGGTCATCTGGGCCAGTAAACCAGACTGCTATAGGAACTGAGGCTTCAGCAGATGCCCATCGTCTGCCCAAGACGCCGCCCTTATATTTCCGCTGTGGAAGCCAGATTGACTGGCGGCGACCAAGGAGGCCTGCAGTTGTGGTTTTTGCCTCAGAAACCGGGTAGTCGGCTTCAGCCCGTCCGGCAACCAGGTGGTATTTGCGGAGGAATGGCTGTGACTTCCTCGCTGGCCGTTCAACAATCGGAACCGTGGTCCCTCAACGACTTGACAAAACTTAAGCCTTGGGGCACACAACTCAGTCCCGGCCAGCAAGTCCGTCCAGGCCGGAACCAAACCACTGACACCACCTACTTCTAGAGGTACCTCTAGACGGGAGGTATGCAACACCCGCTGGGATGATCGGCTCATGATAACCTCAACACATGTACAGGTACCTCTAGTGCTGATCCCTCACTCTCTCACCCGTTTGCTGGTCAGCGATTTCTTCTTGCGGTGCTTCGCCTTTGATGCAGTGGTGATAGGCAAGTGTCCGACTTTAGCTGTGCGTTGTCAACGGAGTCCTTACCTTACCTCTAGGGTTTCAAGTCTCCGTGTGTCTAGGAGTAGATTTTTCTGCAGTGCAGTACAGAGATAGTGGTCAGTCTGAAGGATTAATGGTCGTCCGAGGTGTGGACCTGACGAAGGCGTTGCGTGCCTCTCCATCTGGGTTGGGACATGGTGAAGACATATGATTTATTTTGTTCTATCTTCAGCTCTAGGTACCTCTAAGCAGGTATTCGCTTTTGCGTTGAGGTTGGTCCCTAGAGGTAGGCAACTACAATTACCCAAGGTAGTACTTGTCTTCATCTGAGAGAGGTTGTCTGATCCTGGATAGGTGTATACTACCTAGGTGTCTTGACCACGTCCTTGACAAACTGATTCTTTTACTCAAGGCTTCAAAGCTAGAGGTACAAAGACACTGCGCAACTGTTACCAGGAAGATTCTTTTGATACACTACAGTGTACTATGGACTACCGAAATCCAAACTTAGTGCACCTAGGTAGGTAAGTTCTGACTAGAGTGTTACCACCGAAAGACGATGTCCTCTGCCTTTGTTGGAGAAAGACACCATGACAGACGTATGCCACTCTGGAAGGCTTCAAGCCAAATTCACAAAGCAACATACTGTCCAAAAATATAGGTATCCAAATCCCCAAGAGGCTGCTCTAGAAGCAAGTAAGTCGAGTGTAATGAGCGGCACAGTGTTAGCCGGACCATGTTTGCCTAGAGGTGCCCTTCTTTGGACACGCAGGCAGAGAAGGCAGAGATCGTTCTCACTCATATCGTAGGGGATGGGTTTAACACAGGTAGTAAACAACTTGGAAGGATTTCATTCCCGCCATAGATGTCTACTTCGCTCGGAGACTACATCAGGTACACTACGTATGAGTAGCATACATCTATCCAACTTGATCAACCGCGAAAGTTGAACGTCGACGTTGACCACGTCGCTCTCGTTTCACAAGTTGAGGAAAGAGGCTCGTGAAGAAACAGAAGAAGAGCCTCTGAGAGATCAATAAGAGGAGGTAGGCGAGCACACCACTCTACTGAGAACGAAGAGCACTACAAGGAATATGGGTTACGATAACGTGAAGCAACATGTGGTCCTTGCCTTTAACCACCATCCAGGCAGCTGGTAGGTAGCTTTACCTTCCAATGGCACATTATAGGAGTCTGGGTTTTCTCCAACAGCATGACACTTCAGTTCGTACAAACGGTACCCTACCGTACCTATCCACAAAGGTCATTTACTACTCCAAAAGAACCAACAGTGATAGCCTCGAAAAAGCCATTCCTCTTCAATTTGACTTTCCCTTGTGAATCTGCTGATGTCCGTTCCAAAGGTCTCCCAGAGTCAGCCGGATGCCGTCTGTCCTCAGTCAGTCCAGTCTCTCAAACCGGGAAACGGCAACGATCTCTGCTACTTGGAAACCAAACCTGTACGACACTTTGACGGTCAGTACCCGAACATCCAACTTCTCCCCCGCATTCTCCCCGGATTTCTGTACAACTCGATCACATGTGGACTGGTCGGGAAGAGCCCGGGGAAAGTAAGAAGCAGCCCCAGGCTAGAGAGATAGACAGCCACGTAGGTGTAGGCAGATAGGTAGGCAGGCAGACAGACGGGCAGACGAACCGGCAGGTACGCGCTGTATAACCCGGGAATCATCCATCCAAGCTCGTATCCGAGTTCGCAAAAGATGCATGCCGACGTGATGTAGTTGTTTCGAATAATTGTCTACCTCATGCAAGTGGAAGCCATGATGTCCGGGGCCAACAAACATGAACAGGTAACTTACAAGTCCGTATTTACAAGAAGAGGGAGTCGTTGATATCATGTTCGTTCGCAATGTGTTTGTTAGCTTGATCTGGTGATTGTTAGCTAGTCCCTGCTTTGGCCTGTCTCCGGTAACAATCATGCCTAGAGGTACGTAGTTACCTACCGTCCTACAAAAAGTCCACGGTCCGGTTCCTGTTTCACTTTTAGTTCTTCGCTGATTACGATCACGAATACCAGAAGCCCAGGGCCCGTTCTTCAAGCACCCGAGTTTCCCGGGAAGAACTCAGCTGAATTTGTAAGTAAGTGTAGCTAAAAAGGGAGAAAGAAGCGAGCACACATCAACAAAGCGAGGTTTGCAGTGAGAGTTCCACCCATACGGCGCACTTATAGTACGCTAGAGGTGTAAGTAAGACAGTGAACCGTCAAACTGCATGTTAGCGACGACGATGGCGGCGGCATCCATCCATCATTATGGTTCGGAAGAAACCCCCAAGGTACCTAGGTATGCATGAGAGGCTTTTCAGTTCCTGAAAACAAACATCTGGCATGCCATGACCACACCGCCATCATCTGAATGTCAAGTGTGTTATTGTTTACACTGTAGCTCTTGCCTGGCAGTAGCCGGGTGGCGTACGGTCCGTTGACGATATC